ATCTGCTACCTTAAGGGTTAATCCAGGGGCTGGAGAGATGGTTCCATGACTACGTATGCTGGATGCTCATCCAGAGCAGGTTCAATTCCATTCTCCACACTGCATCTCACACTATCTGTAACTCTAGTTCCAGAGGATGCAATAGCCTCTTCTGACCTCCGCACAGTCAGATACCCAGACACGCATGAAGGCAAAACACCTCTCCACAAACTATTACTAAAAATAAAACACTTTTCTTAAAAAAAAAGAGTTAATCCATTTGTACCTGTCAATCTCCTGTCCAAGGGACCATCCCTCAGGATGGTGGATTTACAGAAGAGATAAGAGGCTTATCTTATCTTATTTAGCCCTTTAATGAGCCATACCTTTCCTTCCCAGAATCCTTGGCCCTGAAAGCAGTCTCTGTGGGAGCCATGAGGTTCCTTGTGTCTGCCCCTCTGTCCCTTTAGGGTGCTGACCAGTGCCTAAGTCCACTTGCTCTGGTGTTCTGGGCTCCCTCACTCTGTCTGTGCAGCCCCAGTCCCACCATGTGTCTGCTTGTCTGCCATGCGGCTGCCCTCCACACCGGGTTAACTCAAATGGCATGTCTGTCTATCTTCCTCGTAAGCATCTAATTAGAAGGCTATAATAATCTTGTCTCTAAACTCAGCCTCTGTGGTCCATGCATTTCAGTCTTTGAATTCTCAGGATGAGCACTGAGAAGCCACTGCTAGAGCTGCTTTTGTGACTATCAGGTTCTCCAGGACCCTAGTGCCCCAGGCTAAGAAAGTCTCTATTGTTCTCAACAACACTACAGATTTTCCACATCAATTATATTTAATCTGTACAATTGAATAAGATTCTTTTTTTTTTCCTCTTTGAGACAGCATCTTGCTGCATAGCCCTGACTGGCCTCTAATTCTCAGTCCTCCCTCTCTCAGGCTCCTGAACACCAGATTACAAGGGCTTCCACCAGGCCTAGTTTGAATTTTTTTTTTTTTTTGAGACAGCTTTCCCTATATAGCCTTGGCTGTCCTGAAACTCACTTTATGAACAGGCTGGTCGCAGCTCAGCATGACCCACCTGCCTCTGCCTCCAGAGTGCTGCCGTTAAAGGCATCCACCACCACTGCCTGGCTAGAATTTTTTTTTTTAAGTAAATAGAATAAGTGGGTTTCTTCCATCCTAGCATCTCAGGGGTTCAGTAAAGACTAAAGGTGCACCCAAAACGTGGAGCACAAGAAGCCTGTAGGAAGCCTGTTTGTGCCAAAACAAACTTACCAAGTTAGGCTAGGCTGCCTGACTATTGTATGCTTCTTTGTTCCTGGATGCCCAGAACCAAAACAATCACACTGAAGCTGTATTCATTACAACACTGCTTGGCTTATTAGCTTATACATATTTCTAGCTCACTCTTATTTCTCAAATCAACTGATTTCTATTATTTTATATTTTACCTCAAGGTTTATGGCCTACCAACAAGGTTCTTGCTAGCAGCTTGTGTCCTTCTCTTCTGGTGGTTTCATGGCATCTCCTTGATTCTGCCTTGTTTCTCCCAGCATTCAATTTAGTTTCCTCACCTAGCTCTGTTCTACCCTGCTATAGGCTGAAAGCAGTTTCTTTATTCATTAACCAATAAAAGCAACACATATAGAGAAGGACTTCCCACATCATTTCCTCTTTTCTGTTTAAATAAAAAGAAAGGTTTTAACTTTGACATAGTAAAATTATATACAGTAAAACAGCTATCAAGCAAGAATTACACTTTAAATATTTATATCTATTTTTATTATAACTAGGAAAATCATATCTATCTAGTCTTTAACTCCATCAAAAACTCCAGAAGGATATAATATTACCTAGGTAAATAGGAAGTTATATTGTAAGCAACTTCCAAAACTCTAGAATTGACAGAGATACCTTGCTGCCTGGACAGTCACCCAAAGTTCCTCTGTAACATTGGGGCATCCATCTTGTGCCTACAGGCCCATAGTATCCATCACACTTTGCCATGAAGCAGGAAGTTTTAAGATCTGTTTTACCTTGTCATGGCAAAGTCTATCTGTTGCTTTCTTTTGTGTTCTGCAGAATGTCTGGCAGACTTTTTCATGAAACAGGAACCCCAAAGGACTGTCTCATCTTTAGGCAAGTTCAGGAGTCATTTCTCTGGGTCCTGCATATCCAGTTCATACAACATAATATCAAGCAGTTCAGGTAAGAACAGTTACTTGTCCAAGTGGCTACTTGTCCAAGTGGCTAACAAACTGCATAAGTAGCCTCTTCAATGTCCATCTTCCTCTTGAAGTAATTGGTGCTGCCAGGAGCAGATGTGTCTCATTGTCATGAAAAGTACTAAGTTCTTAAAACATTATAAATGCCATATTCTGAAGGTCTCTCAAAGACTTGAAAAATATCTATCAATTTTCCTTTTATAATTAATTCAGACACTTTTTCCACATAAATTTTTAATTTTTTACTTTGTTTATGTGGTAAAAAGATCCATTCTAAAATAATATCTTCCATTTCAATTAAGATTCCTATAGGAGAAATTCAGGAAGGCACTATGACTAGAATACAATTAAGATTTGGATTCACTCTATCTACATGTGCCTCCTATACTTTCTCTTCAATGACTGTCAATTCTTTTTACACTTCAGCTGTTAAATCCCTGTAACTTTTTAAGTCCTGGTCACCATCCAAGGTTTTGTTTAAATGAATTATTAAATCAGGTGGTTGTAGACTGGAAATGCCTCCTAACAATCTTTGATAGTCATTAATAGTTTGCAATCGGTATCTCCTATTTTGGGCCTTTTGTGTTCTAATTTTCTGTAAACCTATTTTATAATCTAGGTAATTGACAGAATCTCTTCTCAGTATTTTTTTTAAATTTTTTTAAAATTTATTTCTTATGCATACAATATTCTGTCTGTGTCTGTGTGTATGTCTGCAAGCCACAAGAGGGCACCAGACCTCATTACAGATGGTTGTGAGCCACCATGTGGTTGCCGGGGATTGAACTCAAGACCTTTGGAAGAGCAGGCAATGCTCTTAACCACTGAGCCATCTCTCCAGCCCATCTTCTCAGTATTTTTGCAGAAGCAATTTGTAATCCCCATTTAGGTAAAACTTTCTTTACTTCTTCAAACATCCTTTCTAAACTATCTGCATTTGAGTCAGATAACAAAATGCCATCCATGTTATGGTAAATTATAGATGGGATTACAAACATGCAACAACACACACAGCCTTTCTTCTTTCTTTTTTTGTTTTCTTTTTAAGTGTGCGATTGAGAGATCCAACTCAGTTTTCTGACTTGAAGGCAAGCACTTTAGCACTATGTTTAAAATATCTGATATTGATAAACTTCAACATGGTGGAAAATGGAAGTTGTATCTTGTAAGGTTTTTTAAAATGAGTTACACTGAGAGCGAACTCTTTTGAGGCATGCCAAGGGTTCTTCTTCCCATTATTAAAAACACAAAACAAACAGGCACAGGGGGAGACACATTTTTCCAGCTTGTTGGAAATCTTTAGATTTTGTTTCCTCAATGTCAGGAATGAAGAACACAGAATACTTTAAGAGGACAGCGATAATCTCAGTGCGCAAGACAGCTGTGCTGCCAGAGCACACCTCTGTAACTGACAGCTTCTTGGCCATAGTTCTCTGTACCCTCTTATATGACATTAGCAACACTAACAATTGAATGTGTATCAAGACCCCATCTCCCCTTTTGTTAAAAACCTTAGACAATTCCAGCAAATCAGAAATGAAATTTAACTTTGTGGTATTTGTTCTTTTTAATATACATAGACATATATTCCACGTTTTTAAATAGACACTACTTAGTGCTGATGTGTCTAATCCAAGCCCTTGTGAGGGAGAAACAAAAGTCTGTGAGTTCCAGGACAGTCTAGGCTACATGATGAAACCTTCCAGAAACCCCAATAATTACAACAACAACAACAAAGCGAACACTTTTGGATCCCCTTTCAGTAACCAAGAACTTTTCTTTTTGCTTAATAAATCCTCTCTGTTTTGCTAAATAAAGCAAAACTCCACGGTTAAGCTGTGTTTCCTGTGTTCTGTGCTCAGATGATGTAACCTGTCCTTGCTCTTTCCATTGCTGTCAGCAACACAGCTCTCTTCTAGGGAGGGAAGCCAGGGTTTTCTGCTGAGTCATACCCAGAGCCAAGCATGAGCCCAGATGCTCTGCTGCAGGCTGTGAAGCTGCCCTGCTTATCCCTAGCTGACTGGTGCTGACCCTGGTCATTTCTGTACTGAATGCCCTCAAGTGGTGCAGATGTCCCTGTCTGGCCTGTGTCCCAATGGACAGGGCACACGAATCTTCCTCACACAGTGCTGGTGTCTCCTCAGTCTATACTGAACGAGGCTCCCTTGCAAACAATAACCCAACTAGGTCCACAGTCTCTTGGACAAACAAGACCTTTAAGCAATTAGGGAACAAAGTACTTCTTTCTCAATGTGCCTAACTCTCAGCTATTGGACTGGGTTCCTCTTGGGAGCCCAGACTGATGAAGTTTTAAGACATCTTTTTGGCCCAGGGCTTCTGCAGCATGCCACCTGCACACCTAGGACCCATGTTTTCCCAGCTAAAATGCATCCTCATGGCCTCATGTGCATCTGGAATGGGATATCTGCATTACTTGACTGTGTTCTGGGTCCTGTATAGCCAGGTCCCTGCTGGTGTTAGACACATGTGCCTTTAAGGGCTCTCTTCCCAAGGGCAGACTCAGGAGCTTCCCTGCTCCTCTCCCCTCCCTGCTCAGGAGATTAACTTTTTCTGAGGTGTTGGTTCTGCTCTGGCATCCTTCTGAGAAGCCTCACTGTGCTGACATCCCAGCATCTTCTCCCCTGGACCTTGTCACAGTTCTGAGAGTGTCCAATTCTTTGCTGGCATGAAGACTTCCTCAAAGTAAGATCCTGCCATAGCCTTCGCTCCACCTTGCTCAGAGCCTGCTTCTCTGGCTACAGTGGTTCTGGGGGAAATGGGGCCAGTATAGCTCTCACTGGCCTTCAGGTGAGGGTTGGAGACAAGAGATAGAGAACACCTTCCACAGGGACACTCTGTAGAGACAAATGTCGCTCTCACTTGTTGTAGGGAAGCAACACCTCGGCTCACTCATGTGGGAAGCATGATGTTCAAGCTCTGAGCAGGTCCTGAACTCAGGCAGCTGTGCCCTGTCTAGTGCCCACCATCTGGATGGCACCATAGCTGGGGCTGAAAAGAACACTAGTGCTGACTGAGGCTGGTGGTGAGGAGCAGGGGCAGAAGGGCAGTGTGGTCCCCTAGGGTTTATTTTACAGGACCAGGCACAGCATGGACAAGGAAAAGTCCAGCTATAGGACCTGTTGATGTGGCAGGACATGGGAGCCCAGTGTGTGTGCGTCCCAACACCAGGCTGCTCTGAGCAGTTATGTCAGGACCAGGCTGGCCCTGAGAGGACAGAGATGGCTGCAGTCCTGAGGGAACAGTGCAGGTGACAGGCCTTCCATGGGGGTGAAAACTGTTGAGCATCCACAATCTACTGTGTTCTACAAATTATTAGCCAGAGTTCACAAGGTGAATGGGGTCACCTATCTGATGTCACTTTCCAGCTCTGTGACGCTGGGCTTTCTGATTAACAAATATCCAGGAGCCAACCAGTGAGGTGCCAACTTAGTTCTGCTCACCAGTTGTTAGGCAGACCCACGCTACCTGTACTGCATGCAACCAGAGGCTGATGCCCTTCCAGACACTCTTGGTTGTACAGTAGCAGGTAAGACTGACAGCTCTGTGGGGAGGGCCTCAGCGTGGGACTGAAGTCCTAGAACTGCCTGAGGGCCCAAGGATAAGGGTTTGCAGCAAAGGGTGGTTTTGTTTGTTTTTTTTGCCAACTGTGCCATCTGAACTTTCATAATCCTTCAGTAGGAGGTTTGCAGGAATACAAACCTGAAAACACAGCATGTCTACAATATACAGTCCACGGACAACGAAAAGTAATGGGTGCGTGTGATCCATCTACATCACTGTGCTGTGTTTATGTATACTCAGATGTGCAAAGGGCTTCTAGTAGTGTAAAGAAGGATGTAGTCAGGTGTTGCTGGACAGACCTTCTCCCAATGTTAGTGTCTGTTTCCTCTCTGGTGACAGCAGAAAGAGACACCCTAGAAGCAGGTCCTGGGAGGTTGGGAGGCAGAAGTTCAGGGGACTTACATGGTTTCTCTCCTCTTCAGGCCTCAGGGAATTTGCCCAGGCAGGTATACCTGTCTCTCCTGGATGCCAAGATTTGAGACCCAGAAATCTCCCATGGCTTTTTATCACATCCGCCAGTACCAGAACAGAGACTATAAACGTGTCCTGGATTTGTTCATAAGCGGCATGGAGGAGCACATCCCTGCCACCTTCCGCCACATGCTGACCCTGCCCCGAACCCACCTGCTTTTACTTGGGGTACTGCTTGCTGTGGTCCTGGTGTCTGGCTCTTGGCTGCTAGCTGCTATGAGCATCTTCTTTGTGCTCCTTCTGCTGAAGCTCCTTGCCAGACAGCCGTGGAAGGAGTATGTGGCCAAGTGTTTGCACACAGACATGGCTGACATCACCAAGTCCTACATGAATGCCTGTGGCTCCTTTTGGGTGGCTAAGTCTGGGGGAGAGGTGGTGGGCATCGTGGGCTGTCTACCAGTCAAGGATCCCCCATTGGGGAGGAAGCAGCTGGAGCTCTTTCACCTGTCTGTGTCCTCACAGCATCGAGGTCAGGGGATTGCGAAAGCACTGATCAGAACTGTCCTCCAGTTTGCACGGGACCAGGGCTACAGTGATGTTGTCCTTGAGACCAGCGTCTTGCAGCAAGGTGCTGAGGCCCTCTATGTGAGCATGGGCTTCCGGAGGACAGGACAGTACTTCATGAGCGTATTCTGGAAGTTTGTGGATATTCTTACAATTCAATTAAAGCATCCCCTGCCTTCTGCCTAAGAAGTTTGGCTGAGAATTATGGTCCTGTGCAGGAAGCGTGTCCCCTCCACTCTGCAGGAACCAGTAAACCCTGTCTCGTCAGCGTAGTGAACAATAAAAGCTCCTTGCTGGTGCACACCATATTCTAATGCCTGTGATGTCTGAGTTGGGGGGTTGGGGATTCTAATATACTCTTGGTTTCTGGGGTTCCTATGTTTTATATATCTAGCTCCATATTCCTGAAGCATTATGTACAAGGCGAAAAACAAAGCATACATTTTGATGTTGAGTCTGTGGACTAGAATTTTCAGTAGGGCCAGAGGGGCAGCTCTCCTGAGCCTAAGGACATTTTGCCGATTGAATGTAGTATGGGAAATGAACATGGAAATCTCTCTGTTCCTGTGTCCCAGGAAGTCATGAACTTTGGCCTGTGGTTATTGACCTTCTCAGGTTAGTGGCTGATACTTTGAGCCCATTTTTTTAAAATTCTATGACAGTTTAACACAGTGGCTCCATGAAGATGGAAATGCTCCCTCTACCTCATGTCAGGCACTGCAGGATGTCCCCTGCCCCGCAAGAAGGTTGCCCACCTGCCAGAAACCCACTGGATAAAAGTTCCTGATAGCCAGAAGCATGGGCCTCCCTGGGCCTCTGGGAGGAAGAAACCTCTGGTCTATATGACCACGTGCACATGCAGCCATACCTGAGGGCGGTCACTGTATAGGAGCTGCCTTTGTACCTTGACCCAGGACTTCTCAGGTAGGTTCTTCCCCCCACTCCATTCTGACTAAGGGACCGAGGACAGCATGTTAGCTCCTTTCCACCAAGGTGTCCATCCCTACTGCAGGGACAGGGTACCTGTTGTAGCCACTGCCTTTCAGCCAGTTCTGGACTGCTCAGCCCTGGCTGGGATGCAGGTTGAACCTAGTTTGGTGTTTTGCTGAGAGAAATCCCGAGGCCACCCACCTGGGATTCTTCCCTTCCAGCCCATTCAGCTCACAATTTTAAGGACAATCTCCTGAACCAGTCTCTGAGCCACCTGTGTCCCTCCTTTAAAGGCTGCTGGAGACCCCCCCCCCCTTTAAAGCCCCTAGGGCAGCTTGGACTAGTCCTGGTCTAGAACCAATAAATCTCAGAGCCAAAGCAAACCTTTCACTTTGCAAGTGAATTATCTCAGAAAGTGAATGACCGATGAGAAGCTGACCACCACATTGAGAGGCAGGACTCACACCCAGGTTGCTCTGAAGCCTGCATGTTTGGCTACAGGGCTGAAGGGCATGGGCAGAAGTTTGAAGTCATCAGGATAGAAAAGGAGGGAAGGTTTGGGGAATGCACACAGCTGGGAATAGACCCTGTCCTCAAGCATGTCCTGGGCACAGCACCAGCTCACTCTCCCTCCATCCCCCAATCTCTTCCAGCCCTCCCACCGCATCTCAACACCCCATAGCCAAGTGAAGGCTGGAAAGTAGCCTCTTGCTTCTCTGGCCCTGGCAGACAGAAGGCCAGTCTCTAGGACAGAGGTGGAAGGGCAGGGAAAATGCTGGCCTTGGTACAGAGGGCTGGGAAGGCATCTAGGACAGGCAGCCGTGATGCATCTAAATTTTGTCCCAAAGCGACTGACCCAGGAGGCCATGCTTTGCTCTCCATGGTGTCTGGGCACAGCTGCAGTGAGGCCAGAAAAAGGGAGGAACAAAGCCAGGAGTGGTCTTGAGCCAGCATAGTTCCAGGGTGCTGAGCAGGCACAGATTGGGAAGGGGTGAATTTAGGAGGCTGGCAGCAGGAGGCCATAGAACCTCTGAGCCACTGGGTTCTTCTCAAATGAAGTTGGAGGCTCAGAGTAGGCTGGGTTCTGAGTGGCGGATGGTTTTGTGCCAAAGACACCGCCTCCACATTGGCTCATAGACTTGTTTGTGCTTCTCAAGCCTGGGGAGAAAGAATGCCCACTGGTTCACAGCTCTTCATCCATCTTCCCCCTGCTGGCTTTTCAGCCAAGGGTCAAATACATGTGACCCATGAAACCACTTTCTGTCTTTCTCTTCCCTCGTCCATCCCCCACCCCCGTGTGTGTGTGTGTGTGTGTGTGTGTGTGTGTGTGTGTAGTGTGTATGTAGGCTGCTGTACTTGTGTAGGTGCACACCTACATGGGTACAGAGGTTAGAGGTCAACCTCTGATGTCATTCCCCAGGGGCCATCCACCATCTTGTTGTGAGTTCTCCCTGGGACCTGAAACTCACCTATTAGACCACACTGGATGACCAGACAGCCCTAGGGGTCCTCTTGTCCCTCCTCCTCAGAGCCAGGACACAAGGGCGGGCCAACATATCTGGCATTTTAACTTGGAAGGTGAAGATCCAACGCAGGTCCTAATGCCTGTGTGAAAAGCATTTCTCTGACTGAGCCATATCCCTGGCCCCCACACTGCCTGCCCCCAGCACTACATTCCAGCTAGTAATGAGAAGCTTCTGACACAACAACACAGGTTCTGGACGTTAACTCTTAACGTAGAGAACACTGCTCTGAAATGGGCTTAAAACTACCCTTCGAGAGACACGGGCACTTCCACTAACTTCTTCCTGGAAAACGGCAATAGTTTGTTTCTTTTCATGGTCAGAGGCTCACAAGAATGGAACACATCCCAAGGAGAGAAAGAAAGACTTCACAAATCATCTCTGTAACGTGCGTATTAATAAATGCACACGTTCACTGCAGCAGCAGTGCAACCGTCCGCAGTGGAGATGTGTTTAGTAACTGCACTGCTTGCAAGACTGCTGTGGGGCAGCCTCGTCCCCGCACTGGCATTAGTAGCGCTGTGGGGCAGCCTCACCCCTGCACTGGCATTAGTAGCACTGTGGGGCAGCCTCGCCCCTGCACTGGCATTAGTAGCACTGTGGGGCAGCCTCACCCCTGCACTGGCATTAGTAGCGCTGTGGGGCAGCCTCACCCCTGCACTGGCATTAGTAGCGCTGTCGGGTACAGCATCCTTGCCCCTGCGCTGGCATCAGGAGGGTTGTGGGAACCCTCGTCTCTGCTCTGACGTTAGGAGTACAGACAGCAGCCATCTGGAATATGAAAAAATAAACCACTGGTGTTTGTGCCTTTTCTTCATCCCACTCTCCATAAAGGGGAAGCTAAGCTCAATGCCAGGATCCTACAGCTCCAGTGACATTAAAGAACTGATGATCAGAATTGTGCTCTGACTCCACGTGCACACTGCGGCACACTTGTTCTCCTCCCCCGTAAACAAAGTGAAATGAAGTGAGTCTGGGCATGGCGGCCCAGGGCTCTAATGCCAGCCTTCTCTTTCTACAGTGCTGCTTTGGGAAGAGGCGATGTTACAGTAGCACTGGAGCCACTAAGGAAAAGCCACTGCCTCCTGAACGAAAGAGTGGACATGTGCCGTCATCTGCTACCTTAAGGGTTAATCCAGGGGCTGGAGAGATGCTGGATGCTCATCCAGAGCAGGTTCAATTCCATTCTCCACACGGCATCTCACACTATCTGTAACTCTAGTTCCAGAGGATGCAATAGCCTCTTCTGACCTCCGCACAGTCAGATACCCAGACACGCATGAAGGCAAAACACCTCTCCACAAACTATTACTAAAAATAAAACACTTTTCTTAAAAAAAAAGAGTTAATCCATTTGTACCTGTCAATCTCCTGTCCAAGGGACCATCCCTCAGGATGGTGGATTTACAGAAGAGATAAGAGGCTTATCTTATCTTATTTAGCCCTTTAATGAGCCATACCTTTCCTTCCCAGAATCCTTGGCCCTGAAAGCAGTCTCTGTGGGAGCCATGAGGTTCCTTGTGTCTGCCCCTCTGTCCCTTTAGGGTGCTGACCAGTGCCTAAGTCCACTTGCGCTGGTGTTCTGGGCTCCCTCACTCTGTCTGTGCAGCCCCAGTCCCACCATGTGTCTGCTTGTCTGCCATGCGGCTGCCCTCCACACCGGGTTAACTCAAATGGCATGTCTGTCTATCTTCCTCGTAAGCATCTAATTAGAAGGCTATAATAATCTTGTCTCTAAACTCAGCCTCTGTGGTCCATGCATTTCAGTCTTTGAATTCTCAGGATGAGCACTGAGAAGCCACTGCTAGAGCTGCTTTTGTGACTCTCAGGTTCTCCAGGACCCTAGTCCCCCAGGCTAAGAAAGTCTCTATTGTTCTCACCAACACTTCAGATTTTCCCCACAGCAGTTATGTTTAATCTGTAGGATTGAATAAAATTCTTTTTTTTCCTCTTTGAGACAGCATCTTGCTGCATAGCCCTGACTGGCCTCTAATTCTCAGCCCTCCCTCTCTCAGGCTCCTGAACACCAGATTACAGGGTTCTTCCACCAGGCCTAGTTTGAAATCTTTTATTTAATTTTTATTTATTTATTTATTTATTTATTTATTTATTTATTTATTTATTTATTTATTTTTGAGACAGCTTTCCCTGTATACCCTTGGCTGTCCTGAAACTCTCTTATGAATGGGCTGGTCTGAAGCTCAAGTGACCCACCTGCCTCTGCCTCCAGAGTGCTGACATTAAAGGCATGCACCACCTCCACCTGGCTTGAATTTTTTTTAAGTAAACACAATAAGTGGGTTTCCTCCATCCTAGTATCTTGGGGCTGCAGTAATGACTAAAGGTGCATCCAAAGCATGGAGAAGGTGAAGCCTGCAGAAAAGCTGTTTGTGCCAGAACAAACTTACCAAGTGAGCTGGGCCAGCTGGCCCGTGAGCTGGGTGGTGCCACTGATTCTGCCCCCCTTGAGCTGGGGTTGCAAGCATGCAACGCCACACACAGCCTTTCTTTCTAAGTGTGGGATGGAGAGATCCAACTCAGTTTTCTGACTTGAAGGCAAGCACTTTAGCAGCTGAGTTATATCCCAGTGCTCACTTCAGGTTTTTAAGGCAGTGGACTCTTGCAAAGCGCTCGTGTCCCTTCACATGCAGGTCTGCAGAACATGAGGCTGTGTCTTATTTTGAAACTGGAGCCATCCATGACTGAGGTTGAAACTCTTTTCATATGAACTGTTTTAATTTTTCCTTTAACATATTTGTTAAGCATTTATAATCTATTCTAACTATTTTTTTTACTACTTTTTAGGATATTTATATGAATGCCAGTCTTTTTTTTTTCTTTTTTCCAAGATAGGG